ACACACACATACATACATAAATAACAGGGCCCAAAATTCACACTGCTGCTGCAATGGAGATCTCATTTTCTCAGCGGGAATCTTTGCGACAGTTGGAACTGGTGGGGGACAAGTTGCTAGAATTACTTTCTTTGATCTGTGATGCTACAAGTGTGGGAAGAAGTCACCAGATTGGGCCCATCGTTGCAACTAAGATACAGGGCTTTCACACAGGACTGGTTAAGGTGTCCCTTTCAACCATTCCCCATAGGTTGTTCCTCAAAACTATGGGAAGGAATTGCCACAGGGAGAGTGATAAATCTGCTCTTTGAGGGACTGAGGCTGTTTACTATACATTCTTCAGTTGCTCTTCGTAAGCTCCTTTTGGCCATCTGGCTTAATTTACCTGTGTCCGTCTGGGTTTTTTCTTTACTTTCTTTCCAGTCTAGTCAGAATTTTCTCCTTTAAGCGTTATTTCAGAAAGCCTACAATAAAGGGTGGTTCTGTCCTTTATTTGACTGGCAATCATGTAAAACCAAGGGCACATGTACAAAGTCAGGATGATACAGGTTGATATGCCAGGTCATTATTAGCAAAAACTGCACAGTCAGAAATGTGGATTTCTTTGCTCTTGTTGTGAGGACATCTTTTACAACTTAGGAGACTTATAATTCCTGAAGCACTAGTGGGCCCTTCATCTTTGCTTGCACTGGAAGTGATTTGCTTTTTTTTTTTTTTTTTTTAAACTGCTTTTAACCTCAATCCCTTCAAGCAATCAGATGGTTATTCTTAGAAGGGTAGTTTATAAAAACGGATTAACTTTGACAATGACATTGCAGCTGAGGACTGCCAAATGCGTAAGCTCTTGTTGATTTGAAAGAAGTATGTTTTATATTCCAATGAGGTGGGTAAAGGAGAAGCGAGCTCAAGGTGGAGAATATTTATGCAAGTAAGGAATCTGTCTCAAAGGTACCTTCTGCAACTTTGTGAAATACAAACCAGAAACTCAGTCCCCTTCGCTATACTTACTGGGAAATTCTAAAACATGAGAAGAAAATACCTGGGCAATGTAGTAGATTTCACAATGTTCACCTCTGACAGGTATATTTTCTTAAGAATTATTCAATATGATGTAGAAAAATTAAACTCCTGCTCATATTCTTAGTGTCTAATATTCTGGCATTACAGCAGAGGTACAGGAGGCATGTATAAGCAAGTTGAGAGTAAACTGATGAAATCGATACATGCTAAAATGAAATTTAGTCTCCCAAGACTTTTAGGAAAAGGAGACTTTTCTATGGGAGGAGTTGTGACTGCTTTGTGTTACATCACTTTACACAATTTCTTTAAAAGTGTTTTGATGGTTACCAGAGGGTCTGAACATCTTGTTTTGAATATGCTTTTTCATAACATCTTGTTCTGTTACACCTAGATAATTGGTTATGTTGAAGAAAATGATGTAAATTAAAGTAAACAGAAAGATGAAAGCAAACTGGGGAAATTAACTTTGAAAAACGGGGATGTAGGTTTCATGAAGTTCCAGCTCTTGTGTAATGCCTTGTCACTTTTCTTAAATGGATGATTGAGGCCATGTTTGCAAATGAAGAACAATTAACTGGAACGTTTTCCCCTCTGGTGTACCGGCAACATCAACACAGTAAAAACAGCAAGGAAGTTTTTTTCCAGAGTACCTGGCAGTCTGCAGCTTGCTCTGAGATGCAGGGTTCAGCCCTTAGTTTTCTTTAACTCCGGGTGCTAAAGTAAAAGAAAATGCTGCACATTGGCATCATAGTTCTTAGTACCTGTCTTTTGGACTAGTGAGAGAATCTATACGGGGTGGAATTGTTCTGTTTTACACAGGGGGATAAATTGCTATTAGTCAGTGTAACATTGCAAAGAAATGTATGGTTGATCCTTTATGTAATTTAGGAACTTAGTTGGTTCAAATGGATGTATACAATCACAGCTACTGGCCATTTGTGTGGGAAAGCCTTAATCAATCGAGACACAAGGAAAAGGCTGCTTGAGAAGCATTAAGACAGTAGGCTAACGCTGCTAAGGGAATATCCAAAACCTGGGTTTAGCTCCTGTAGTCACTAAAGAAGATCACCATCCTTAGGTTATAATTTACTACTCTTTTTATCTCACTCTTTGGGAGGAAGAGGCCACAGGTGTGGTTTTAGCGTGTTGGACACCTGCATTCGTAAAGATGCCCAACAGAGAGGACAGCATTGTGTTCACATTGGGTGCATGTGTGCATGGAATTAGCGCAAGACCTATGGATGCAGACTAATCCTAGGTCTTCAAAAAAGAGCTTAAATAACATGTAATTGACATATTTCATTGAGGTTGTCACTATTGGGCGTCTATAGATTTTCTGCCCACTAAACATTACTCTTTACTACACAGCTCCATTGTGCTGTTGCAAGCATTTTGTTTATTTATGCTTTGTTTCTTTCATCATGTCTAATCAGACTATTTACAAGCAACAGTTTATTATGCAGGACCAAAAAATTGAAGTTCTACACCATGCTTCCATACTTTACTGTTTTACTAAATCCTCTTCACTTTTTGAGAGTCAGATGTTTAACCATGTGAATCAGCTTGTCATGCACATCTGAAAGTTTCCTGGGCAAGTATTGTACCTTGTAAATCTTAGAATTTGCAACATCTTATACCAAATAAGTGAATACCTCCATCGGTTCACCACCCACTGGAGTCTGACTGGTTTTTTGGAAGATGTTGTTTGGCGAAAGAGACAGTAAGGGCGTCTCCTTTACAGGAAATCATGTTCACTTTTTTGTTAATAGGTTGCATGCACCATAGATTTTTTTTAGGACAGATTTTACACTGCTCAGAGTGCCAGTGTGGGGCCTAAATACTACTTCGGTCACAAAACTATTCACAGTTGTACTGATAGTATCTAAATAGATAGAAGCCAAGACACTCTGGAATCTGTTTCTCTCCAGTGGTTATGGAGGGAACCTGGAGCCCTGACTTAAGAGAACGTACAGATGTTTAAAAGCAGGCAAGGTGAATCCCACCTTCCATGTCCCAGTTCAGTGGGATGTGCAAAGGCGCATCAAAGAAGACTCTGATGAGTTGGATGCCCGACTGCCTGTAAGTGTGTGTGTGCACGGAGTAGCTAAGACTTACTGGGTAAACCTCTCAGTGCTGTACTGAATGCAGCTTAGCGTTTTGTTCACCCACATCTTTACACACTTGCATTTAAATGTAGTCCGTATATAATAATTCCATTGCATTTCTATAAACATTGCTATTTTAAATATCTTGCTGGTTATTTTCTCACTTACTGATTTCACTGCAGTTTCCTGCATGAAAGGTAAACTAAAATGGTTTGATCTAGGGTAACACTGAGATTCAGACAGACATTAAACCAAAAGCAGCTTGTAGCTTTTTCACGACATTTTAGTTCTTTATAAAATAGATGTTATTTTAAAAGGGAGGGGGAAAAGAAGAGCTAATCTTCAAGTATATAATATTTGGGTTGTTAATTATGTTGCTTCTAGCCTGTAATTGTGTCCATTTTGTTTCTTTTGAAACTCTTTTTGTCATTTAAATGAGCTAGTATTGAACAGGCTGACAAAAGTAGAAATGAACTTCTGTAATAAAAATAAAATATTTTGATTTGGTTTTGCAACATGTTATTGACAGAAAAAGTGTATCATAAAAGTTTGCTGATGAATTCGCAGAAATGAAACAGACATCTGTGGGAATTTATAGCTATGCAGTCATCTGTGTGTGTGCGTGTGTTTGTGTGTGTGCAGTGAATCAGTGAACAGTTGGTTTTAGGTTTTGCAATATGCCTTTGCTTTTATTTGCTTGGAATACTCTTTCCTAGGTTTTGGATATAGTCAAGACAAGCGTTCGTGCAGTTCTACAGCGTGTCTGGAAGGCTCCAGACATTGAAAATTTACATCTGTACCGTCTCTTTAACCGCGTATTTAATCGCTTGCTTTGGAGCCATGGTCAAGGTCTATGGAACTGTTTCTGTAATTCAGGGTAAGCCTATTTTTCTTATCTTAGTCTTCTTCATAACTTCACAATTACAGCCAATGCTGGCATACAATGCTGATTTACAAATAATGAGTTCGAATTTCTGTGCTTGATTACATTCACTGTTTCCCACACTGGTGAGAAGTTAAGTATATGCAGAATAGGAGATGTCCACACTGAGGTAAGCAGAGGTTTTTGCTTTGGGTAGCAAATACAAGTTTTCTATGGTGGGAAAAAAGATCAGGCCTTATATTAAAAGTTCAACATCCTACACTTCAAAATCTGCATTCCTGAAAGCAAAGGCATTCATGTAAGGATAGGTTTGGAGGATCAGATCATAAGTATAAAATAATCTCCCCCTCCCCCGCTCCCACCCACCAAATTTCTTCATAAAATAAGAACACAAATGTGTAAATATGAAATATATTGCATACAAAACCACATTTTCTCTGTAAGTATATACAATGTGTAAAGAACGGGAGGGGTTTTGATTAGCTTGCATAAGCTGTTCTAAGAGATTTATTGAAATGGAACTACAACAAACACACATAGTATGCTGATGGATATTGTATGTACAAAGGAATCGGGTCAATATGTTCTTCACATATTTGTCATATGTACAGAATGCATGTAATGCACTTGTTAATTGTTTCCCAACAAAATGGATGACAAGAAGAAGAGGGATCTGAGAGTATCCAAAAGCTCATCAGTTTTTTGGGCTTTTTTACCATTGTCTTCTCATTGATGAAGGCTTGTTGTTGTTGTGCAAGCTGTTAGGAGTCTTTACATTTTTTTCACTGAGACAGGCCGTGGGAACATGCAGATGTCAGCCTTAAGATTTGCTAGAGGTAGGTATTGGGAATGCAGCGCACTCCAAAAGTTAAAGTAGGGTGAGAAAAAGTTTCTGTGTTTCCATTCTGAAACATTTTTTGTGTAATCCTCAGCAGCTGCAGGGACCCCTCTTCATGCCAGCAGAGGTGTGTGAAGTCTTGAGTCCAAGCTCAATTTTTGTTATGAAATATAAGAATTACCTTCCCTTTTAATAATGCTGTTATTATTTTGAATTTTACTTTTAGTGTGCAAATCTTCTAATATGCATGGAAATTTTCATTTTGGATTTTTTTTCTCTAAAAAAAAATGTTTTTTGTTCAAAACCTTTGAACAACTCTGCTGCTCACTTGGCTCAGGAGAAGAGTCTTTGAGCCAGCAGAAGTGTTCAATGAAGAGTAGGATTTCTCATCTAGCAATAATTTCATTCATGCAGAACAAGACTCCGCTGACTCCAAAGTGGAGCTAAATTCTTTGACAAAGATCCAATTCCTTGTAAGAGGAGTTGCTATGTAAAAGATTCTAAAAATACTGTAAAAGCAATATACAAATATCCAGTATGTGTAGAGATCGCTCTGCATGTAAGATACTTAATACAGAATTCACAGCAGAAAACAGAAAGGCTGTTTGTACCTTCCCAGTATGGTGTTTATTCAGCTACAAGCATCCTTCTTGCCATGTAATACGCAACAGACAACTCACGACAGCACCTCTGCAGCAGAGAGGCCAACTTCTCATCACTCTTCCTTAGAGTTCATTGTGCCGTTTTAAAGAACAGATTGGAATAAACATAGGGCATGTGTAGAATTTGGGGAAACGTGTTGGGGAGGGGTATTAATGTGCTAATTCAGAAACAACATGAGTATATAAAAAGATACTGAGTGTAGTACTTTGACTATTCATAAGAAACATGTCTTGGGAGAAGAACAGCTAATAGCCTTAAGGTTTCCTCTTGCTGGTTAGATCTCTGCTAGGCATATGCTATTTTAAGAATGAGCAAAGAAACAAAGAAAACCTCAGTGAAATAACCGCAATGTGGATGGTTTCATAAAGCTACATTTGTTTTACTGTATAATAAACAATTAAAATTAATAAGAGAAAACTGGTAGAACCAGTTTTCAGAAGGTTATGAACAGAACAACACATTATTGACAATATTGCACAATCGAGCATAATACTCTTTTCTGGATCTGGTGAGGAGTCCGTGATTTCCTACTAATGTATGGAAACTAAAGTTACAGCATAACAAATTAAGCTTCCTTAGGTAACGGTACTCTGATCCCTGTTGACTGCAGTATAATGGAGTATGAACTGAATTTGTGTAGCACGTGGAGGAGGTTGCACAGGCACATTTATATGAAAGCTCATTAAAATTCACGTATATATTTCCAAATATCAATCTTTGTTATTAGGGTAACTGCATACCACTGTGTTCAGAATCGGCCACAGTTATAGCAGCCCACATATTATTCTTGACTGATAAAATCCCTTATAACTGTAGGAAAGTGATCACAGCCCAGAACTTAAGGAATTTATCAGGAGAGTTTCTTCCACAAGATTTTTGGGATTTATGGATTGCATTAGAGTATAATTATGTATAGAACTGTGAATCTGTTGAATGAATGTAATACTGAGAACTTCATCTTGCTGCTTTCTACCAACCATCACATGACTTCATGAGGAAAGAATGAAGACAATAGATTAATTTCCATGTAAAAATACATGTGGAAAGTTCCCAGACAGGAAACAATATTGAGAAAAATACATTAAAGAAAATAGTAGCTCTTCAAGTAGTAGAATTATTCTGATTGTGAAATGAAACAGTTTTGATGCCTTATAAACAATAGTTCTTAATTCATTATATGGATAATAATTAACAAGAAATGCGTGCATCACTTGAAAATTATGTGTGCAGTGGAAATTCTGTAGGACTGAACATTTTCAGCTGGAACATATTATCTAGACTGAGGAGCCAGGCTGAAAAATCAGTTAGCTATACATACAGCTTATCTTTTAGTCATTAATGTTCACAATTCCATCCTAGTACAGCGTAATTTTAAAAATCTTACTAGGCAGAAGTAAGCTTGCTGGTTCTTTGATGTTGTTTTAAGGACGAACTTCCTATACCAGGCATGTGAAATTACTGCTGATCTCAGTGGACAAGGCTAAATCATCCTGGATGTTATGTTGAAGGCAGATGCAGCAAATTTTCCTCACTCTATGAAGTGCTTCTTTCATAAACAAACAAAAAACCTCAAGCTTACAAACCATCTGTGCTACTGGATAATGTTTTGACCAAAAAAAGTCTTCACAGGGACCATGTTGCATTTAAAACAGATGTAATGAGCTGTAATCTGGTCAGAATTTTGCACAAACAGAAGTGTTGAGGTGTATGCAAAGAACTATTGTCATCTTCTGTGGTTTACATTGGTATGGTAAGGTTTGGGGTTTTTTTGATTGCTTTTTAAGCAAACAAAAGCATGGTGGTCTGCATTTCAAGAAGGAATGCTTCTATAGATACACTTTGCAAGTTGCACTTAATTGTAGAAGACCACCCCCGTATGACCAGATGGAATAATAAGTAGTGTATGAATGACTAAACTGAGAAACTCTCCTCATGTGATTATTTGGTTAAGGAAGCAGAGCACATACTAATCTCCTGTAGATTAATTTCATATTTGTTTCTTGGTATCATGTACTTAAATTAGAAGAAGAGTATTATTATGCTGCGGAGACATTTAGAAAGAATTTATTATTTTTATTAATTCCTTTAATATCACATCACATTTGCACTCAGGTGGTAGCCTGTTAAAAATAATAAGTGTTTTTTGTTATTCCTGTTGTAAGACACATATACAATTATGTGACAGTAAATCTTTATGTGCTAAACCTAAGTAATGGCCCTATAAACGCTTTAGGGAGCAAACCAAGTGAAAAATGGCTGTGGACATTTCACAAATGAAGATTAATTTGTGTTTTGGACTCAGCATCTGCCAGCATTTGTGTTAAACAGTATAGACCTTTCCTGTAAACAGGCAAGGTCATACTTTTTCTCTTGTTCCTCTACTGTTAAATCTGATATAAAGCAGTAAAGCGCTCAGATTGTAATTTGTGACAGAAAACATGAAGTCGTGTCTTTTTCCATAACAGGAGCTCTTGGGAAACCATATTCAGTAAAAGCACAGAGGTGGTGACTCCTGAGCAACTCCAGTGTTGCCAACGAATAGTACAGCTTTGTAAACACTGCCTGCTGGTGGTTTACAAATATTCATCAGATTCAAGAGGATCCCCAACTGGGATTAGCCCCCACTGGGGTGACACAAGGTATACATTTCAATATTCTCTTCCTAAATTATAAGTATAAAGGATAATATTGAACAGGTTTCAGTCTATGTTGCTACCACTACACTTCTCTTTAAGCCTAGTTCACTATGTGTTTAAAAATAAAAAAGGCAAAACTCCCAACATTTCCCTTGATCCTGAGTTTCTATTGTTCTAGTCTCTCTAGCCCACTCATGAAGTGCTGCTAAAAGATGACTAGATATGCACATTTTGTGTGAAACTACACTTAGTGAAGTCTTGGTTGCCTACGGCCCAAGTGGCTGCAGCAAAGGCTTTCCATAAAGTGAACTGAAAATTTCCTTTCTTCCCCTTCTCAGATCCCTCAAAGTCACTGATTCCAGATTTGCATTCCTAGAGGTATCCTAACATGTATGATACTTCTGGCTTCACATTCGCAGTGGGATGCTATAGGGGCACAGCTCCAGCCAAGGGTCAGGTAAGTGCCATCTGATTTACTGTATTGCACAGTTTTGCAAAGTTGATTTCCAAAACCTACAGATCGAAAGTTTTGTTATTTCATCTTACAGAGCATAAATATATTTTCAAACCTTGCAAAACAGCATCATATAGTAAAAAAATTATTTGGCACTTACCCGATTCTCCATTGGCTGGTTTAGTTCTCCAACCGGACACAATAGGGATTATAATATCCTCAGTATAGGGATTACTGAAAATGCTCCAACTGTGGGAGTCAACGATCTGCAATTTAACAGTCGTAGGTGGAGAATTAAATGTAAGTTTCAAATTACTTAGGTTCCAAATTCTATCTATAATGGCAATTTGAATTATTATGTATATAAACTTACAAATGCTTTGTTTGTATAAAACATCTTACAGACATTATTTCGTAGCAGGGCTTTATGAGTTAAATATTACGTGAAAAGCGACCTTTGATATATTATCTGTTAAACTTATTTTATGACTTAATTGCTTACCTGCTGTATCTCAGACTAGTTATTTGATTCACTGAACCCATTTGTTATTGTATATGGATCTTAAGGCACTCTAACATAATTTAAAACCAACTAGAAACTGAATTTGTTTGGTCACAGCAAAAGCAGAAGTATGTTAGCCACAAAACAAATCATATTCAATATTAACATCTACTGACCTGTAGCAGGAGTATGGTAAAGTCATCTGGATTAGCTAAGACTAGAAGATCTTCAACCTTGAAGTTTTTATTGCTTTTACTGTTAATACTGCAGAAAATTTTTCATCATGACCAACCACAAAGTATTCAAACTGATTGGATTACTCTAATGTACTGCAGCTAACAGGCTTGCATTTGGAAAGCAGTGAAAGGGATGATCCAATAGAACTTTCCCATCTCCAGTTTCTGTGTTTCTTTGGACGTTGAATGGAAGTTTATTCATAAATTTCACAGGCTAGAGGAATCTAAGCCCTCTATGTCCTAAATATGGACAACTCTGATTAAAATTACAGTTTCTATATTAATCTCCACAAATGTTACATTTATACTGTGGATACAGCAATATGCTAGTTAACCATGATACTCTGAATTTGTGAAATGAAAGATACGTGTGGAAATAAATGCTCTTGCCCATTATGCCCCACAATTGTAAGGTAATGAACTATTTTTATAGAAATGGGAAAACTACAGTACTATTTCACTTTTCATCTAAGTTTCTGTTTTTAAATGAGATAAGAATCTGCACTATTAATAATAGTTTTCTTGACTCTCTGTAAAACTGTGTGAAGTGCAAGAAGAGATCCGTATAATTTAATAAATGTACAAGAAGTCAATTTTTTCGAGACTTTATAAAATCTAATTTGAAGAACTTTGTTTTTTCTGAGCACAAACCAATTTTTTTTTGGTTTGTGTTTATGAAACAAATGTTTGTGAAACTAAAGCTTTCAAAGATTACAAATAGATACCTCTTTAGCTGGGAAAATTTATTTGTACAGGGAGAGAGAAGATGATAATGAAAGCAGCCACAGAGTTCTTTTGTCACTCTTCAAATTTCTTCTCAATCCCATCTCCTAACTGTAAATCCACTTTATGTCATGAACGGAATGAATAGGAGTATTAATATGAATGTGTATTAATGTCTTTTTCTCCTTGCAAAATTACAAGTGTAAAGAAAACAATAGGAAAGCTCAAAAACTATACCAAAGTCTCTTTAAAATAATAGCTAAAATCAGACTGTGTAAAAAGTCAGGCTTTTCATATTTTGTTAAAGTCACCTGTGTTACTAAATTAAAAAAAATACCATCTACTGCTAGATCCTTACAGCTTGCTAAATAATCTTATCTATTGCATGGCATATTCTCTGGGAAGCATCAGAGTTTTTTACTGTATCGTCAAGCAAAGGTAGGACTCAGTCTAGTGACATAGTGAACTGTCAAGCTCACCACCAGCCCATACCAAATCAGACATTATTTTTTTGTAAATGGTTTTAAAAAATATATTGGTGATAATATTTTTATAATAACAGCTTTTCTCAAAGCTTAAACAAACCAAACGTGTACACTTTCTTATGTAGTCTCCCATTGACAGCGTGTGATGCTGTTTCGATCCATGTGGTCAGTAGGATCAGTCTTTCAACTCATTCATCACTAATCAATATGATTCACTAAAACGATGCAACAATTTTTAAGCAATAATTTATACAATGTGTTGTGTTAATCCATCCTAACATTGACGTAATTCATTACGAAATTCTGATTTAGTGTGGATGTTATTTTTGCACACTTACTGCGCTCATCTAATGACTTCTGCAATTAACTATTAGGAAATGATAACATGAAAAGATTTAAGAATGAATATTAGGCATTTGATAAATTATTGTTTGTAGTATTACATAAAATACAGGCTATATAGTTGCCTGAATTTAAAAGGTAAATAGTCACTGACGTGACTTACTAGGTTGTAGCATCATTGTTTCTTGCTTTACTAGAGTAGTGATGATAGCATGTCTAGTTTTAGAGATTTAGAGCTGGAAACCAAAGCTGAACATTTCTGTTTTTTCCCTAATCAACTTTTTTTACAGCTTAACTTTTTATAAGCTGGTTAACATTGATTGCAATTTTTACCCAGTTTAAATTGAATGAATAGTACTATAATAACAGAGAACAATGGGTGAAGTATTAATTTTTGGGAGTAGTGTTACACAGGATGCCATTGTGTTATTTATCCGCTTGCTTTAAACATAAAGGACTGGAAAGATGTTTGATCCTCATACAACATCTTGAAATGTTGCTAAGAGTTTCTCTGAGTTCAGACCCGTTTCCCGAGTTAGCTAGTGCCTAATGCCCTGTATGTTTTACAAATAGTATTTATTGTACATAATTTCTTGCATACAATGATTTTAAGGTATGGCACATGAACAACTAATTCTTTTGCTCTTGAATGTCACTTTGCCTGTAAACTCTGCTATATTTTTCATATCCTTTCTAGGTATTTATTGCCAGGACCTTCACTGTTCATCATGAAATCATCCTCGTCCAACCTTAGCTGCAGTTCTTCTGGAATGCCTCGCCCTAACATTTTGTTCACACACAGATACAGTCACTTGTGAAGCAAAAGGAAAGTTGCTGTTCTTTGTAAATAATGGCACTCCATTTTTTTTCAAATAACAATTTGTGATGGAGCTAAATATAAGCACTGTTATATATTTACCACCATATTATGATAACATTTAGCTGAAAACCTACTGTAAAAGCATAGCTTTTCTGGAAACATAATAAACCTTGTTAAGTTGTTTACACACACATGTGAATGTGTAGATCTTGCTAGGTTTATAAGTAATTCCTTCCTACTAGAAATGTTATTTTTGCTGCAGAATATATAAAATGGAATTGATCTTGAAGATCCTATTACAGCATTACATTATTTTGTAAGTACAATACTTTGACTTGAATATTATTTATTGTAAAGTATACTATTTATTGTCTCAAATGTAACTGATACTTTAACAGGAAGATGATTAAAAAACTGTACTAGAACAGTAAAACTGCAACAGTCATCGAAAATAATCTGATCATTTCTTGGACATGTTTAAAATAATCCCCAGAACTCTGTAAACCAAACCTAAAGCAGACATCTTTTTATTTCTCCTCTGAAATGACAAGATCTATTTAATGCTGCTATTTTTCTTAAAGGACATGGTGTAGTATCTTTTAGCCAAAGTGAAGGCATCTAGTACACAAACAGTGAAAATATCAGTTTAGGCATTCAGTTTCTAATTGGATTCTTGTAATAAAACCGAAGCCAATGTTTGGTACCAGATTTTCATTCACATTACCGATGTCCTGTGCCTTTAGGTTTCCTTTGGGAGCAAGCAGTCATCTCCAACTTGCACAAGCATGCATAGCGCATAGTTTTTCTGTTTTACTGCCCAAGCGGTAAAGCAGACATTTTTAGGAAATACTGCACCTATAATGTATTACTGCAACCTTAAACTAATTGGTTTGTGGTAGTTTTTAGCATACAATCCAGTACCTACTGTAGAATGTATCCTTGCAATGGACAGTATTTTCTAGATTGCTGACACCTTTAAATGTTGGAAATCTAATTCATTAGAGAGCGTTCATTCAGATTCAGCTTCCTGGGCCTGGCTGGAGGGCACAAAAAGAAAATGAGCCAGAGCAGGAACCTACCGTTAACAGGACTTGTAACCTGGAAACATCATTCAGGTTTTGCTACATCCACCCATTCATCCCACTCAGCACTGTGCCATATGAGCCTTATTCATTATAGAAATAATTATTAAAAAAATCATTTAAGCTAGATTTAAAAATGAATTAAGTTTTTTAACTGAGTAAAGAACAGAGTAGTTATTATTTACCAAAGACTTGTTTACTTACCAATCATGTAACCCTGAAACGTGTTTGTAAATTATCAATATATTTCAGGTATACTTAAAAAAAATAATTTGGGGGCTAGTTATCCTCAGGAGCAAGTACGTGAGAGGTTTTTGATATCCAGAGATTTAAGACAAATTTGAGAGACTTAAGAGATTTGAGACTGAAGTTGTCTGGAAATGATTTTTTTAAATTTTAGTCATAGCATATATAAAACTGGGAATTTGGGTGAGATTTTTGATGCCTGTGCTGTAGTGCCTCACCTCTAGAACTGCAGGATATGTGATAATGAGACTATTTTTAAACAATTAAAAACACCTCTTGAGATTAGCCAGAGATAAGCAGTCTTCTAGTCTGGAAAAGTCTTTTTCATTTTTGTGGTAATACTAGTTTAGTAATATAGTATGTTCACGTTAATTGTGTATCTCTTTTGGTCCATACAGTGACTACTGATAAAGCATACTATCGTTATCTGTAAGGCTTAATAAAATCTGTAAATTCTCTCTTCTTGGGGGAGGCTTCCATTGTATTCTGCTTTTGGCCATAAGGATAAAACCAGCTTCCAGCTTAGCTTGCCAGGCTCAAACAGAGCCTTAGGATAGTAGGTTCACGTGCCTTTTTTTTTTTTTTTTCCTTTTTTTCTTCTTTTAAACTACGTTATGATCTCTGTTCTCGGAAGCCAGTGCTGGGACAGGTCAATCTGCATAGAATACTCTGCCAGCAGAACGAGGGCTACTAACCATACCTGTGCGGTATGGACAGATCTAGAAAAAAAATACATTTAGCATGTAGGAAAGTGGACCAGATGGTTGGTTTACATCTGACGTTACTTAATATGTTTGTATTTCTGATAACCTTTCCTAAAGTGGTACTGTGTTCCTAATAATGTGTGAATCAATACTTTCAATAAATGTAATGCTACACTTTCCTGCCAGCTCCTCAGAGCAAGCGCGTGTGGTCTACGGGTGAATTATGGGCTGCACCTACAGCCCGACTCCAGATAGTGCCGCAGGTGGAAGCGTTTGCTCCTTTCCTTCTGCAAAACAGCAGCATTTCCTTCGTGATCAGATAGGTGGTCCTAGTAAATCAGCCTTTAAATAGCGGCCTTGGGCTCCTGCGAGCGCCGCTGCGGCTGAACCTTCAGCCTGATGCCAGCCCATCTGCTGACCCCTCCTCTTGCCCCCACCATCCCACTTTTGCTTGGGAAGCAACTAAATAATCAACCGTGGAGGTGAGACCAACCTCCTAAACGCCTTTCATGGTACGAGAGGATCTCGAGCGTATTTCCAAGCTGTAGGAGCGTTGTCATTAGAAGGAAAAGAGCACATGTAATTTCTTTACCGTAGGTCGATCTTTACCCATTTAAGACACGGATAAAATAAGGCAATGCGGTTTGTAACGGTGTGCGGTAATCTTAGTAACGTGGAAAGGCCCCCCCCGGTACAGAAGTACGACGCGCCGTCGCTCTAACGTCAGGCGCTCCGTGTTCCCAGGCGAACGACAGCCCGCGGCTG